AGAGTAGATTGCAGCAGCCCCAACTTCATTTGGCTTATTCTACCTTGACATATGAGCAATGGGCTGCTCTTGTCAAATCTTACTGATGGAAAGAAGGGCTTGGACAGAAACCACTCATGCCTTTTTCTGGAAAACCTCTAGAAGTGATACCTGCTAGGAATAGTGAGAAGGTGCTGATAGGTCTGTCTGCTTTTTCCATCCATGAGAGAATGGTCGATGGCAAGACTTCAGCCTAGAGTACTAGCCTTATATTCACTAGTCTCCTAGATTCAAACTTTCAGTGAAGTAGAGACTGGGGTATGTTGACAAAAGCTGTGTTCAGAATCTTTTGGAGTTTAAGAACAGTTTGGTAACAGTTCTGCCTATTTTTCAGCAAGGAGATTCATGGATGTTTTTGCTCTAAATGAGCTGCAAGTGCTCAGCCAATATAAGTGAAATGCTAATGAATGAGGTGAAATATTCCTGTTTATTCTAGAAGCAGCAGGATGAGTGGGTGGGAGTTGGTAATAGTGTGTGTTGAAGGGCAAGGGAAAAGAAACTGCTGTCTGCAAATTTAAGCAGCAATATGAGGACAATTATATCTGTGAGAAGGCATTTCTTTCTTTTTCTAAATGTACCTGGTTTAGTAGAGACCACATTTTTTGGCCTGGACAGTGATTGAATTGGATCTCTTCTCAGTAATTCAGTACTTAAAATTAAAAAGTCCTTCCTGGAAGGAAAGCTATTTTGGGGAGTTTTTTTTAACTTTTTGCTGAGTTGTTTTCTCTAGCTTTCTGCTTCTCTGACATGCAAGATCTGAATGTTAAATTTGTAATTTGTATTATAACGTATTTAACACACAGTCCACAGTAAAAATTCTTTATGCTGCTGGTTGCTGAAAGAGGATATCTGATACCTGGAACCTTGTAAATCACCTTTTTGTAGACTAAAATGAGAAATTTCTTGTTCTGAGAGAGATGCAAGGTATAAGATTTTTGCTTTTTCAGTATGATATACTGAATATTATAATTGTCATAGTAATGAAAGAGGTTTTTGCCTGATATAAAAAAAAATAAATTGATTTTGACAAACTCCCACAGTTACTTTGCTTGTGTTCATTTTGCCTACTGAATAGCCCAGGGTGGAAGAATTAATGTAATTCTGTGGAAAAACCTGCAAATGCAAGGAGCTTGCAGACTTTCTAGCAGTATAGCCATGTTTCCTGCCAAATAGCTTGCTTGCTTTGCCTTCATACAGGACAGATTGTGCTGCTGCTGGCTTTTCTCTATGTAAACCTTTCTGCTCTCCTGTCATCACCTACTATATTTTACTTAGAAATTCTTTCTCCTATCTTCTGCTTTCACACTGTGTGCTAAGTTCCAGATCCAGGTTTAAAGCATCTTTCTAACAGCTACTGGCTTTGTCATCACCTCTGTGTGCCTGCCTCTCCCCTCTTTGAGGTATCATGAGGGAGGTTCTGCCGTAGTTAATTCTGCGTGTGTCATCATTTGCAGTGACCTCAGATTGCTTGTCATCTCTCTGCTTCTTCATCCTCCTTATGTTGTTCATTTACATCTTGAACGCTTCTCTGGCCATTTTTAATTTTCCAAATCATCCTTTTCTTCCAAATTTTAAGGAAACCATCTGATCATTTTCCTGGCGGTCTTCAAATCACTTTGTTGCTTCTTCCCTGCAACAAAACCTCCCTCTGTTTCAAGAGAGTTGAGTTTGTGGTTTCCTCTGCCTACAACTGCCTTTTCAATCACTGCTCCCTTTCTCTGCCTTACCAACAGACTCCCCCTCCTTTCCCAGCCTGTGGGTGATGTGTTGTTACTGAGCTCCTTTGCTGTTTCTCTTGGCCACAGGAAGTTTGGCGCTTGTTGACAGAGAGGGCCAAGTAGGATGGTGCCCAGCGCTCTGTTACTTTCTTAGTACAGCTGCCCAGGTGAAAGCTGGAGACCACTTCTCTGTGCTTGCTCCCTTTGGCCTCAGTCCCTTTTGTTGTTGCTGTGTTGACTGCTAGTCCACCTCACGCTCACTGTCACATCGCTTTCTGCTGCTTTCTAAAGGGACAAACTGATGGCAGGTGTGACCTTTTTCTGCTTAGTCTTCCAGTGCCAGTTTTTTAGGATCAACTAGATTGAAAATATATACAAACAGTAATCATAAGTGAAAATAACTGATACAGATATTTTTTATCAAGATTTTCAAATAAAAGCTAAAATCTCAAGCAGTGTATTGATCTGTGATCAGATAATTGCTGAGGTTTTAAATTAAGCTGGCTGTCTTTGCACTGAAGCAATTGAGACACATTTCTGTGATCTTGTACTACCAGCTCTGCTGTGGGCTTGTTCTAGGATAGTCTTAGACCACAACCATAACCAGTCAAACTCAGTGCCCACATCAGCTGTTTGGTCCCTATTTTTATTTGATGCAATGCCAAATAAAAACCTCCTTTGTCTTAAACACAGGATCGGAATTTACTAATCCAGGAAAGGTTTTTCATAAAAACAGAATTCCCCACCCCCCAAAAATAAACCCCAACCCCTAGATCATTCTGTTAAGGAGAATGCTTAAGTGATGAATGACTGTGTACTGGGATCCTAAAGTGGAGTTTTCAGCAGTTACAACACTAGTTTTGTGCTGCTTTGGATGTCTGAGACCCTTTACAACTAAATGAAGGTTAAAACAGAATTCCCCATAGATTCCCCTTAACTCATGGCTAAAAAAGGGCTACGTAAATGTGGCAGCCTAAAAGGTTTAGCTTACCAAAAGCTAAAAAGTTTCCAAATCTACCATCTTTTGTTTACAAAAGATTCCCAGTTATCATAGTATTAAACATACTCTCCATCAACCTAAACGTGGTTTGATGACATACTAAACCTGACTTAAAAGCTATCAGTAGCACATCAAAATACCTACAGCTGCTTATAAGCTCCTGTCGGTTCAAATTGGTTCAAAAAATGGGTTGACCCTGCCAGACTTTGTGGTGACTAAGTTATCATCTGTCTTTCCACAACCACTGTAGAATGCAGTAAACTGCATTGTCTACTTTGGCTAATTGAATGGAGAGATAATTGTGAGCTCACTGATACTCTGCATCAGATTC